CAAAATAGTGCAAATAAGGACTTCTGACCAATAAAATTGGCATGTGCTGCGCATGTGACTAAAAATTGGCCTTTAATACCCAAACTACCCTTTTGCACTACCTAAAATACCCCTTTGAAAACATAGATTTTTTTTGCACACTTTAAAAAATACAGGAATTTTATTTTATAAACATAAAAATAATTTTAATTTTCTTTATTCTCTCCTCTTTAACTAAATACGGTATTGTTTTTAGGGAAAATTACATATAAATGGAGTTAAAGTTTCATATTTACTTAGAGACTGAGTCAAAGTTCCATATTTCTCTAAAATGGATTGCTGAGGTGGCACATGGTTTTTTACTGTTTAGAAAATTGTAGTGCCTAAAATGCCCTTCCCTAACAAAAAAGTAGTACCTTCAGTTCAAAAAAGTAGTACCTTCAGTTCAAAAAAGTAGTACCTTCGAAGAAAAAGTAGTACCTTCGCGGGTGTTTAAAAAACATGGTACCTGGACACCAAAAAGTAGTACCTTCAGTTCAAAAAAGTAGTACCTTCGAAGAAAAAGTAGTACCTCCGCGGAAGGGTATTTTAGGCACCACAATTTCTAAACAGTAAAAAATTATGTGCCACCTCAGCAATCCATTTTAGAGAAATATGGAACTTTGACTCAGCCTCTAAGTAAATATGGAACTTTGATTCCATTTATATGTAATTTTCCCTTGTTTTTAAGCATTCCACATATAATATATATTACTCTAATTTAATTATTTCTTTATATATAATAAAAATATTCTCTCCCCCCTCTTTAATTCTTTAATTTGGCTGTAATCATCACATCAATCGTCCAAGCAAAGATCCGAGTCGCCGGTAGTGGTGATGATCCGGTGAAATTAGACAACAGGGAGGTTGAGATCGAAATCAAGTACTTTTCTAGAGGAGGTAAAGCTTATTAGAGTAATTGAAATCAACGACGGAAGATGGGTCAGAGTCGCTCTGTATCCCATTGTTGATTTTGTGCCATGAGTCGATCGTCGGACGGTTGATTCTGAAGATGATTATTCAGAGTCTTAGGACGCGAAAGGCCGTTTAAAAGGAGCAGAGGTCGTGCCGCCGGTAAAAATCCGGCAAAATGGCAGCTTCCCCTGAGATGCGCCAAACTAGGTTTTCACCGGAGTTCTAATTTTACGGTTGATTGAGCTTTATTTTCTCATTACGGACGAATTGTCAACTTTAATCATGAAACAATAACAAAACATAAACATCAATCTTAAATTATGAAACAATCCCAAAACATATATCTATCTCAGATATGAAATTGTCTCGGGTAAATTGAACCAATCACAATTCACAGTGATGTATCATTTACGCATGCCTCAAGTGAAAAATCAATCTCTAGTTATTAAAAAGTCTTTAAATTTGAATCAATCTCGATATATATATATGCACACATATGCACTGAAACACACCACAAATAGTACAAAAGAACAATAATTTTCCATTACTAAATAGAAGATTTGTTTCAAAATTTCACAATTTAATCTAAATTAAACGAAACAACCACAAGAACAACAACAACAATCAATCAATCTTCCCCTGAGATACGCCAAACTGAAATTTCGTCTCAAAAAGGGCAAAAAGGCATAAATCCGGCCAAATGACAGCTTCCCCTGAGATGCGCCAAACTGAGGTCAAGCGACGGTGGAGGAAGAGAAGCGGCGGCGATCGGCGGCGCAAAGCCCGATGACTCAACGGTGCTGCTCTGGCTGGTGCTCTGCACGTAGCTATTGACGGCGGCGAGCTCAAATCCAAGTACGGAGTAGCAGAAGAGCCAAACTTTAAGCATAAAACATCGGCATTTTAGGAATTATTCAATGGGGGCTTCAAGCATAAAACGTCGACCTTTTGAAGATTATTCAATGGGGGATTTTAGGATTTCAACTTTGTGTCATTATTTTTTTTTAATTATTGAATAAATAATATTGGAAAATATTTTCATATTTTTTACCTACTCGTGTAACAAAAAGCCTTTATTTGCATTATTTTTAAACCATAGAGTGGCCTTTTTGCACATTTTTAAACACGCAGGAGTGTTTTTTTGGCAGTTACCCGTTAAGGTTGTTCATCTTTGGGAACTTTACAATACACAAAAACCAGTTGTGTGGGACCAACAAACACAACTCAGCGAAGGTGAGGTTGCTTAATGATAATGGGGTAGACCACGCTAAGGGAGCCGCCAATGTACAGAGCCCAGCAGGACATCATTTCCAGGTCTGGGTCCCACAATCCACTACAGCGCTGCACTCGATCCAGTCGGCCTAACCAAGCTTAGACAGCTCCATATGTATTTGGAGGACTGTCCCATTCGTTTTTTTATATGTCCGTTTGTGGGCCCCGCCGTTTTGAACCTCCGCAGCTGAAAACACACGTACTGTTCCTCACCGAATTGCAATCCCATATTCACAATACGACGGGTGGCCTAAAAATAATAAATAACTAAATAAATAAATAAATAAAATAATAATAATAATAATCTGCACAGGTGGACTGCGGTAAAAGGTTCTCAAGAGACTAACAAGTAAATATATGGTGCGCCGGATATAATAAGTTATTGGTAAGCATTGGAAAAACACTCCATCATTTTAAAAGCTTAATAGGGTGCCTTTTATTAACATATTCTTTTTTATTAAATATTCCTTCTGCAAAAACTTTACTGAACCAATTTTTTTTTTTTTTTTTTTTGATAGGTAAGCAAACACACAAACACTCCCACAAGTCTGCAACACATGAATTTGCAAATTAGAAGTACTTTTAATCTGCAATGCATATTTGGCGTTTTTTAATTATTTTTTTCCACAGAGTATCATTTCTTAAAGATCAAATAGTGTTTCGAGGAATATTATAATATCTTTTTTTTGAATATTTAAATCTTTCATCCTTGAATTGTTTGATAATTTCCGAAGTTTAAGCCTCACTGTTGTCCGCTTAAGTTTCAAATTTGCTCTAGGCTTTCAGGCTTTAGCCAAGAAATATATATATATATACACACACAATGTATTCGTACTTTATACATATATATATCTATATATATCATATATGTATATATATAATACATATATTACCCTCGACCATCATGACAGTCGGTGGTGGCTAGGAAACTTATCGGTGACGAGCAGAACCGGTACGTCCAATGATGTCATCCTAATATTTATACAGAGGGTAATTTTGGCACAAAATTTGCATAGGATTGATATACTACTATTACGAGTACTATTTATCAAGAGAACGCTGATATGACTAGCAAATGGATGAAATTTTCATTAACCTCCATGAACTTGGTACAAGTGTAAGCTATGCTGTAAATCAACTTTGAGCTTTTTAAATAGCCAACAGGCTTGAAAAATCTTTTATTTTTAATTTTTTATTATTGTTTTGGGAATACAGTATTTCAAATACTGTTCAAATTCAGAATTTTTATAATATTTTAGAAACAGTATATGCTAAAGCACTTTTAAAATTGATTGATAAATTATCATGCAATAAAATATGTCAACTTTATTATTGCGTGATCACATGATCTCGGACTATTTAACAACTCATACGGTGATAGTTTCGATAACTGTTTAAAATTTATACCTTTTATGTATAAAAAAATAGACTAGACTCTTCGACTTTGCAAATGAACAATTTATATACGTATATCTTGACGAGAAGTGTGGAGCTCGATAAATACAGTACATCTTAGTCCGAACCTAAATTTTTGGAAATATTTTAGTATTTTTTGTACTTGTTATGCTACACTATTGTGAGGATACTTATTTATTCTGAATTATCTCGATTATAACAGTCATGTAATCCTAAATTTTGGATAAACTACCTAAAATTTTGTGTATTCTTGTTCGTGTGTTTGATATCTTTTCAATTAATTTTCGCAACATAACTCTTTTATGAAGTTGTCAAATTTAGAGCTTAATGAACCGTAATCTCATCCGGGCACTTAGTATATTTTTAAAGTGCTGAGTGAGTTAGTATTAGTAATATATCAAAAAGATTATGTTTAATATCTTAGCAAGATTGATGCTCAATGTAATGTTATAGAAAATTAATTATTGAAACCAATACTATAACTCTAATTAAAAAAGGCACATGTTAGATCAAGTTGGAGGACCCAATGATCAAAACTAACAACCAAAGGTAAAATTTTCTCTTAAATTATTACATGGAGCACCTCTAAAATCTAAATCATGATAGTAATAATTAATGCAATAAACCAACTAGCAATTAATTTAGAAAGGACAAAAATACATGATAATTTATTAACAGCCAAAAACCCTTTTTTTTGTACACGTGTCACTTGCCTGTATGATCAATCACTACTATTCCATAGAATATCAAAATGAACAAGATTCCACTGCATCACGGCCCCATATATTCATAATTCATTAATACAGTAACTAACAAGAAATAGGGGAGGGACTAGGGACATAGTTGGAACTTGTAGGGACCATCTTACCCCATTTATATATATATATATATATATATAGAGAGAGAGAGAGAGAGAGAGAGATGGTTCCATTAATTAAGTCATGACCACCAAATATATCTTAAATAGTAGTTGTAGTTTATTTGCTCTTTTTGGGGTCTTCTAAGGCTTTTATGTAAGGTGATTGGCTGTGGCGTTATAAGTTCCTCTGACATTCCCCCATTTGTTTCTCTCTCTAAAACTCACTTAAATATATGTATATATATATATATATATGCACTTCAATGGTCACTGAAACAGAGCATTATCTGAAAAGGGTGTCTCAATCAGTTGCGGGTGGTGGAGATAAGCAGGCCTTTCTCTCTCTCTCTCTACAATTTATCCACCACCACCACCTTTTTTCCCGCGAAAATACTTTCCCACCAATTTAGCACACTGTGACAATGAGAGACAATGAAAGCACATGACCAAGAATTTTTAAGCTAGCTGGTAGTAATTAATCATAATTAACATAATCATTCATCATTAGGTTTACTTTCTCTCTCCTCTCTCCACTTTCTCTCTCTATATTTGGTAGTGTTTATATAAATCCTAGAAGCTCTTCATTCTTCCATTCCTCGGCCTCTCCTTTTCTTCTTTTTCCCTTGACAATCCTCGGGATCTGATCTGACAACTATAGTCAAGAGAAAAAAACAAGAAAAAATCATTTCAGTTCAAGTCCCGAGGAAGATATATATTAATTGTGTCTTTCGCCATTTATTTTTCTTGTTTTATATGTCTCAGCCAAAATTTGTAGTTTAAATCTATTTTCGGTGAACAAAGATTTGGTTGATTGTTGAAGAAAGATCTACTGCTCTACCCATCTCTAAGCTATTGCCTCATCTGTAAGCTCTCTCTCTCTCTCTCACACACACACACACACAATTTATTATGTGGGTTATGCATGCGTTGATCGATTTTATGGTGTTTTTTATGTGTGTTGGATTGGAAGCTTGTTTTTGCAGATCTGCTATGATCTGAATGGAAGTGTCGTCTTTTCTATGTGAATGTCTTCGTGTTCATCACTAATGCATATATGGCTGATAAATATTTCAATCCATGTCTAGAAGTTTTAATTGTACTGACTTAGAAAGATTATGCAAATTATATTTTAGTAATGGATTGGAGCCTCTTTAATCCTTCTATTAATTCTCAGTTTCTTTCTTCTTCTTTTTCATTTCTTTGATTCTTCTTTTTATTATTATTATTATTATTTGTTTTTTTGCTTTTATGTTTAGACAATGAGTATCAGCTAATTTCGCATTAGGTTAATTTCGAGAATTTATTCCGATTAAATTCTTCCATTAAATACTACTAGGATATATTACATCAATTAAGATCACAAACTTCACATGCATAATTAAATATCATAGAGAAGATGTGTTGATTAGAGACATAAGTAATGACAGTCATTGATTAAAATAGCTTTTCGTGTGTATGTGTATTACATAAAAATATATTTCGTGAAATGAAGCAGTACCAACACAAATATTAATACATGTCTTTTTATATTGTTGGATCATTTAATTACTAGTTGAATTTGGTGAACCTATGCTAGAATTTAGAGTATCTAGTTGAATTTGTTGGATCATTTAATTACTTATTGGATAATTTATTATTTGTTTTATGATCAATCAAATGATATAATTGCAACTTGATATGTGTGTGTGTGTGTGTGTGTGAAAAACGTGATTTTGTTCACTTGCCTTCATTTAGAAGAATCATTGGTTGCATTCCACATAGATTCATATACTATTGTAAGCCATTGAATTTACCTACTTCGTTAGGGGAATTAAAAATAAAATTTACCAAAGAGTATTTTTATTTTTATTTTTATTTTGTGTTAATTGCATAGATTTTTCTTTTCTTATATTAGTTTGAGATTGTTCTTTTCTATGTACGACGATTTAAGACAAACATTTCATGATTTTGATCAACATTGCTGAGCTTCAGCATTAATTAAGAATGCCCATTTCACAAATGTACTTTGTGTGAGCTTTGTTTTTTCATTGACTACTTTGTGTGAGCTTTCCTCTTCATGATCTCATAATTCGATCGATCCAAGAAAAGCTTGATTACACTCATAATGGCATTTTCATAGTCAATGACAATGGATTCAATTAACGTTCATCATATGATCATGTTTATCTTCTTCAAAATTAATTTGCTTCTGCTAGCTTAGTCTATAATTATGTACAAGTTGATAAATTAGGCATGGGATAGAATTCATTAAGTAATTTATATAATGGTAGCAACAGTTTTCTTCAAGATACAAACTCATGTACTCAATTTATTCATCACAATCATCTCTAGTTTTTCGGTCATTTAAAATTTCCCTTTAATTCCTAAGTGCCAATTTCATGAACTGAGAGTCATTAATTAACTGGTAATAAGTAATAACTACTTGTAATATTTTCAAAGAGTATCGTACTGAATTACGGATGTTAAAAATGAGATCTCTCAAATAGCAGCTTCGATTTGCATTAATTTTCTTGCTTCATGCATTTTGTTTGATTTTTCTCTAATCTACTTTCATTAAATTGAATTAAGTCAGAAAGATTTCATCCAATAGTCCAAGAGAAATTCTCAAATTACATCATATTTCAGAAATGACTCAAATCATATATAGCTCATCTTCTGTTTGTGTCAATAGGACTGCACCATTCAAAAATTGGACTAAAATTATCGCGCTGATTGAATAATATTAATGCTAAAAGAATTGCAGGTCTCGGCTCCTTAGCAGCAAGGAGATTATGAATGCTTTTTCGCATGTCCCTCCTGGTTTTCGGTTCCATCCCACAGACGAAGAACTTGTTGATTACTACCTTAGGAAAAAGATTACTTGCAGAAGGATTGATCTAGATGTCATTAAAGATATCGATCTCTACAAAATTGAGCCATGGGATCTTCAAGGTATATCACTAATAAACTAACACAATTATGTATTCCCCTCAGTATATATATCACTTCCATTCCTTGCAAAATGTACATTTGACTAAAATTAATGTTATTTTTTGGTGATTCTATAAATTTGAACAGAACTATGCAGAATAGGAACAGAAGAGCAAAATGAATGGTATTTCTTTAGCCACAAGGATAAGAAGTATCCGACTGGAACGCGTACCAACAGAGCTACAGCTGCAGGATTCTGGAAAGCAACTGGACGCGACAAGGCTATTTACTCGAAGCATGACTTGATTGGCATGAGGAAGACCTTAGTCTTTTATAAAGGTCGAGCACCAAATGGACAAAAATCAGACTGGATTATGCACGAGTATCGTCTTGAAACAGATGAAAATGGGATAACTCAGGCAAGTATTCTTAGTCCATTTTTACCAAACTTCAAATTAATCCTTATATATAAGCTCCCTCAAAAAAGGTACTTTTTTTTTTATAAGAAAAAAAAAAAAAAAAAAAAAAAAAGGTACCCTTTGATCAAAAGTTACATAATTACTATTAGTTTTGCTAATTACCTATTGTTTCATTTTTTCTTTGTATTTCATACAAAAGATTATCTGTGAAAAAAATGATAAGAGATATTCATGATATTCATAAAACAGGAAGAAGGTTGGGTGGTGTGTAGGGTATTCAAGAAAAGATTAACAAGTATGCAGAAAATGAGTGAACACGAGTCGCCAATTTGGTATGATGATCAAGTCTCATTCATGCCGGACTTGGATTCGCCAAAACAAGCTTCTCAGTGTAATCCAAATTACCACTACTCTTATTCCTGCAAGAAGGAGATAGATTTGCAGTATGAAATGCCCCATGAACATTTTAACCAGCTGCAAACTGCGCCATCCGAGAGCTGCAACTCTGTGGCAGCTTATGGTCTTGACATAAACAATGGAAGCAGTTTCCGGTCCTCCTCATTCGTACAAGAAGAACATGTCCAACAAAACAATCACCAGAATTTGCATTTCATCTATGGGGACAATAACAATATTGAGCAAACAGGACTTGACGACCAAGTGACGGATTGGCGAGTTCTTGACAAGTTTGTTGCTTCTCAAATGGGGGCAAATGTGTTTCAAGCCTCTGATCACTCGAGTATGGTTGGCCGGCACTTGATCAACAAGCAAGAATTGGCACCGGAAAATGCCACGGCATCAGCCTTCAGTTGTCAGATTGATCTGTTGAAGTGAAACCTTATTAAAATTCAATTACAGTATTACACATTGATCATAGGAAGTCCAGTTATATGTTATTTAGATTTTTGTACATAATAAAACTGAAATTACAGTATAACCTTTTAGGCTTCTGAATTTTCATCTTAGTATATAAGTTAAGTTGATATATATACAGTACCAAATTAATTAGTCAATAACCTTGTTATTTTACCAAGATAGAGTTGGACTCTGGAGCTGAGGATGGCTATGGAGACTTTGACTCACAGCAATACTGTTCTGTGTGTAATGGCCATCTTTATGCTTATGCACTTGGACTGCTATGTGTTATGTATGTTTGTTGATCCTAAAAGCAGTATTAGAAATATATTTCTATCTTTTAGTATACCCATGCAATTTTTCCTCTACACATCTATATATAGTTTCTAAAGTACTTTCCTTTTTATATTCATGCTCCATGTTGTTGTCAGGATGAGTTTGGGGTCTGTTTGGTTCAGTTTTCTGAAGAGATTCGAGATCTCAAAAACTCGGAAAATAGATTTTTTTTTTTTACAGTCATATGAAAACAAGCCTTTCTTTAACTAAATTTCCAGAAAACTGCAACCAAATTAACAAGTTTCTGCACAATTTTTTAATTTCTCTTAAAACGTACAGAAAACTATATATTCTCTGAAAACTGAACCAAACAAACCCTAAAATTCTAGAATCCCTAACTTAAGCTCTACTACGAAAAGGAGAAATTGTGGTCAGAAATTTAGAAACAACTGCGAAATCCAAATGCTTGCAAGGTTCGAGCTAGTTTGTCTTCTCTTTTCTTCTCTCAGCAACTAAAAGAAGCATCACTATTCTCAGTTTAAGAGAGTGTAGGCGCTGCATTGTTAAAACAAATCACATGATCTGAATATTAAAATTTTGCAGTTGGGATTGAAGTGTTCAAAAATTTAAGCGAACCATTTAGTCATTCTTAGCAATGTATAACACAAGATTATTGTAACATAACACATAAATTATAGTCAGATACCCAAAAACAACCAAAAGAGAGGACAAAAAGATCCATGTTGTTCCAGAATTAATATGAATTACCAGATGAAGAGTCAAACTTGTTTCAACTTCAATATTTCTTAGGGACATATATGTATTGATAATTAAGTTCGAAAGGTGGGAGCTGGGCACAATTAAATTCTAATTAATATTCAATAAATTATGTGTATGAGAATGCTGCACAATCCAAAAAAAAAATGCTGCACAATCAGATAGCTAGGGTTATTGTTTACACTTATTATTGAGGTTAGAGTCTCATACTAAAAATGACTAATTTCCATTTTAAGATGTATACAAGTTAATTAAATACATACATATATATGTATGTATATACATATGTATGTGTGTGTGTGTATATATATATGTGTGTGTGTGTGTGTATAAAAAATTTGATGATGAACCCTACTTTTATGTATATCATAGCAAGGTCCAGATGTGCAAGAGTGAGAAGCAAGTGTGATGAAGTTGCTCCTTTACGATATAGTATTATTCAGTGTACTATATATCTCTAAATTTCAGGGAGAAGAGGTTGATGGTACAGTATGTGGCATATATTGCTTATGTACTAAGTTTGCCTCCACAGAATGTTGTCTTTTTTGGCTATATCTATATGTAATCAACCAATGTGACATTACTTTGAAGGAATGTCACTGTTTGTTATGATTACCTTGCCAAAATGTGCTCCTATAGATTTGGTATAATGGTAAATATATAAAGTATATGTCAGAAACAAATTTACCAAAAAAAAAAAAAAAACAAAAAATGAAGTGGGTGGATATATATATATATATATATATATGAAGAAAGCATTTGCTGGTGTGTAAGTTTCATGAGCAATACTTGAGATGAGAAGTCTTGCACATGCATTTGCTGTGTTCAGGGAATGGACCTCTCAGCCTTATAAACAAAAACTATATAGTGGAAAACCAAAAATAAAAAGAACAACTAATTAACAAAACTAGTGGTGTGCTACTTCTTAATCTTATAAAATTCCCAAAAACTACTCTCACCACTTGTTTCATTATCTATTGTATGACAAGAGCACCATTATGTATATATGAGAACATTTTACATGTAATAAATTGAAATACTATACCTAGTCCCACAAATGAAGTGACCTAAGGAATTTGATATTATTTGTACCTATATATATATGTATTTAGGATTGAGATTTGCTATCGCTAAACAAGTAATGCATAGAAGTAAAAGAAACACATGTGAGCTACTCTGCGACAGCGAATGCTCGGCCTCAACCATTCATGAAAGGAAGATCAATGTAAGAAAAGAGTAACATTAAAAAGAAAGAAAGAAAAAATGCTAGCTAGGAAGAAACAACCGTTGAGGCAGCTTTTGATATTTAATTATATAAATAGGTAGAATTATTAAATGGAATAATAAATCACCAATACATACCATAAACAAAGCTTCATAGGATGATATATATGTGGTTAAAAGGAGCTATCAAATGCTTTATGACCGATGGAGAGAGAAATCTGCATTTATTTTAGACTCTGATCGAAGAAGGCTCTAGCTGGCTATAGGTATAGTTAAAATTTATGGGAAGTGAAAGTTTTCTGATGGTTTAATTTGAAGCATTTGAAGGCTTATATACTTACATATATACTATTATTATAGTGGATAACTTATTTACTTGGGGTGAAGTCAAGCAATGAAATTTTCCAAACGACACACTCATTAGCTAGGCATTTCTTCTCTACTCATACCTCAAACTTTGGAGAGAGAGAGAGAGAGAACCAGTTGATTACTTAACAAAATGGGAATCCTAGGAAAAAGATTCAAGCTAATGTTTCTTTCTGATTTAGGTTAAACATGGAGGATTAGAGAGAGAGAGAGAGAGTCCAACAAAGTCAAAGGTTAAGCATACACATGAGATGAAGAATGGCATATGACTGAATAATAATTAGGTTTATAAAAGGGGTTGTGTATAAGGGAAGTTAACATCATTGATCACCATCTGAAACATTTCCACGTGATTGCCATTATGTTCTTTCCACCCCTAAACCCCAGCCCTCTTTCGATCTTTATATATATATATATATATATGAGAGTCCTTGCACGGAAAATGAATAGTAAAAAAAACCCTGCCACAAAGGAGACATCAAATTGTTTATGCACTGATTGTGTTGCTTCTCCTGGGATTAGTCCCTTGAATTTGAAGTAAAAGGTAAAGCAAAGGACAAGAATCCTCTTTTGTGGATTTGTCAGCTGAACATTTTTTTATTTTATTTTTTTGAAAGTAATAAAAAAAATAAAAATTGTGTATTTGTCAGCTGTACATTAATTACACAATGTGTATCGTCCCTTAAATGTTTCAAGACTATAAAACATAAATCAGTGAATGAAGTAGAAACATGCATGACCAGAAATGTGGAGTTTGAGACCATTTCTTTGAAATCGGTTAGGAGAAACAGGTCAATATATATATATATATATTTTCCCTTTTATAGTAAAGACTTCTCACCAAGCTCTCCAATTCGAGAGACGAGAACCCTTTACTTTGTATTTTGAAAGAAGAAGAAATATCACTAAAGGGAACATTGACATTCGGTCATCTTTCACTTTGAAAAGTCACAGCATAGTTGATGTGATAATTGGACCATATCCTCTACCATTACTTCTAAATGATTCTCCTAAATATTTTGGGCCCATTTTCCAACAATTATCCCATGAATTTAGGAACTGGGCCCATTGCACAACAATTATCCCATGAATTTGGGTACTTGAGTTTCAGCCAGGCCCACATTGAAATTAACCTCACTCTACTGGCACTCCTGCATATGCCCAAATCCTAGCCTGTGAAAGACAAAATTTGTTGACCAAATCACCCTTTAAAATTGACTCATTATAAATGTATTTTTTTTATTAAAAAAAAAACCTCAACTTTGGTGCCGAGACACATGGTCTTCTTAATCGTGCATAACAATTATGGTAAACATTTTCCGATATTTCAGATTAATCATCATCGCTTGGAAAAAGATGTTTATACAAAACATAATTGACTTCATTATCCAAAAATAATAATAATAATCGCACATGGACAAAAACTATTTTTATTTTTGCTCCAACAAGACACATTTAACATGTCTTTCCTACTATGCTTACCACCCATCTCATGAACTTTTGACTTGTATACAAACATTGTCTCAATAAAAAAATATCTAGTACTTTTTTATTTCTCGGTAACCTAAGGTGAGACTAACTCAGAATTATCTAATTTCTAATGTGAAAGCACTTGCCTGCCAAAAACAGTCACTGACATGACTCTAGTTCATCATACAATACTACTAAGTTCACAAAACAATACGTCGTCATTTAGTTAACCACTATGTGCATGTAACCTAATTCCAACACAATTACCATTGAAGAGTACAATAATTAAAGTTGGGTACCCAACCAAATGGCACAAAAATGGATTAACCATCATTAGTATGTAATTTTGGGAGGAGGAAAAAAAAGGTTGAATCCCTACCTACCTTATCATGTCAACAATAAGAGCAAAACATTGTACAAAAATGTTCTCTTTGCAAACCTAGCACTTGCAACTAGAAAAATGTTCTCAACCAAAACCTCTTCAATTACAACCCGCCTACAACACAGCCAGGTCGCTAGCAACATCTAAGATTGCAATGTTCTCACCAATTCGAAGGAAAGCTTAGCATAAAATGGCAATGGCAACGGAGATTGCCAAGAGCAGTGAGAAGTACAGTTTTGATTGTGAACAAATGGTTGATACTGCAGAGGAAGTGGTTTTATGCGGCCTGAAATGCAAACAAAAAGTACAATAGGTGAGTTTATAACTATGGAGAGAGAGATAGGCACAGAGAGAGAGAGAGAGAGAGAGGGGGGGGGGGGGGGGGTTATGCTTGTTATACTTTTGCAAATTGCTTAGGGAACCACAATAAAGAACATTATCCGGCACGGGGAGTTCTGTTTTGTTGTTATCTTCTGGATTGATAATTCTCATGTAAGTTTCCTGGCCTAGATACCATCTGTCAAGGTTTTCTGCTCTTAGGTTCCATGCTCCAACATTATCAAGAGAGACTAATACCGCCGTCCATCCCCCAGGGAAAACCTACACATTGGGGAAAACAGAGGAAATTACTTGAAGAAGATGAACGAAGCATTTCAAGTTTTGAAAAATTGCAATACATAACCTAAAGCGTAAAACTCTAAAGTGCCTTCAAACAATTGGATTGAGAAGCGCTCTCAATCCAAAGGCGAGGGGGTCTGTACTCATAGTGACCTGACCTAGTCCCCAATCCCTATGACATTTTTTTCCAAAAAATATAATATTTTCAAGTAGTAAAAATCAGCAAAAGCAATGCAATCCTGTAAACTAGTTTCAAGATAAGGTCTTATAATTTCTTTATACTCTTAAAAAGAATGAGATAAGAATTGTAGAAAACTCTATGAGGTCATACCTGTGTTGTGGAGCGGGATATTGCATCCCATCTATTGTATGAACCCCTGCTGTTCTCCGTCCATTCTCCATATGCCATCCTGCAGCATAATAACTAATTTAATATATGTGCACCAATAATAACATTTAAAAGCAAAAATGATATCAATAACATTCAAATGCAAATGATGACTCTAGGACAAGAACTATACCCAACCACAAAAAATGAGTAACCGTCCATGTGAAAGCTTTGAACTACTGTGTCATTGTTCTGCAAAATGATTTCAATGAATCCCTTATATGTAGCATTAATAAGGGATCTGTCCATCCGTGGTGGTCCAGTCAGTGGCTTATTTGGGAAATCAAGCTTGTAAGCACCCTTCACATTGAACTGGTCAGCAAGCCTTATTGGTGTATCAGGATTGACAAATGAGATCCCATTAAATGTGGCTCGAAGTTTCCCATCAACCATAACTGGTGGCAAGCTCTTTAGAATGTACACATCAGTCACATTGATCGAGCCATAATGAAAAGAACCCTGCGGATTAGGCCGAGCTCCACTTGCAGTTACATTTTGCCTAATTAATTGGACATGGAAAACATTAATCAAGACAGGTTTAAAAGTAAATATATATATATATTTTATAACAGTCTAACTAAACTACATAAAAGGAGAAAAAGGCTCATGAGACTGGATTATAAACTGAAAAACTTTTGAGACAGATATTAATTTTGCCAAATTAATGCAACTTTTAGTAAATAATATAGCTTAAGAAGCACGTTTCAACGTCTCAACATTAACTTCCTTTTCACAAACACTCCCCCAAAATAAAAATAAAAAATAAAATAAAAAACAAACAAACAAACTTATTGACTGTAAAAATCAGCCGTAAGCAATGAAATTAAATATATTTCACAGAACTTCAGGCTGAGCAAAGAAAGTAGAGAGTTGCTTTAAGATAAGGCACTTGTAAGCTTTAAATTTAACAGAAATAAGAATTAATAGGCATCAGAAGATTCATGGGAACAAACCTGATGGACATTGCCTGGTTCGGTGCATATGATGTGTCATAAACATCATTTGGCGGGTCCGGGAGAGGACCAGCCGCATTCCCTTTTGAATTAGAATAATGCAGGATAGCAACACCTGTCACTCTTTGCCACAATGATTGATTGACAAACCTGGCACTCGCTACAATGTAGTAATCGCTACTGGCATTCTGATCCATGGTAACCAGAAAAGAGTAAGACTGACCGACATGGATATCTACACTAGTAAAGTTCTGTTGCGATGTGTAGTAACCTTCTGTTTCAGCTAGAAGCAGATTATGGCTCTGAATTCGAAAATTTAAACAAGTTGAGACTCCAACATTGTGCACACGAATTCGATAAGTTTTGCCTGCAGTCATGCACATATATCACAACACCAGTTCAGATTTCATTATTTAAGAAAAAAATCAACTGCCCAAAGGAAGTAGAACAGTACAGAACACTCTTAATGGAAAACGATTAGACATGACAATAGCCCAGGTTTTAATTTACAGCAATGTGCCAATCCACATTGGTTTTGCTTGTAAATCCTATACATCCAATCCAGGGAGTGAGCATGTTTGTGTCTGTTCTAGACTACAAAATTCAGGTTTCAATGCCCCGAATCATTGAAGCAACATGTTCTAAATAATTTGAGTTGCAATTCAACAAAGCCTAGAACAAAATTTTTAGATGTCAACTTTACAAATTCCGGAAGAATAGATCAACTTCAATCAGGTCCCTTTGATGTCTGAATTGCTGCATGCACCTACTGGATGGCTAAAACTAAATGTCCAATGAGGCTTTGATTTTCGGGTCCCTTTAATGAGGCATGTTAGACAGCACAGGAGTGAAAAGATTCAATACCAAATTGCATAGCAACCATACATGCAAGTTTGTTGAGTAAAAAGGAATCACCCCCAAAATTACATACTGAAATAACTAGAAGCTAAGTCATTGTTTGAAGTTTTAAAATGGCCTTACTATATCCAAGTAAATGCTACGAGGAAACAAAAAATAGAATCAAAACCAAATGATGCTAGAAAATTGGGAAAGTTCATTGAAAACCCTTACCTGGGTCAACATTAATGGTTTCATAGCCAATGCCATCTGGGACAAGAGTAGTGTTGTATCTATAAGGTCCCTTCCCATTAATGAGTACTCCATCTGGCATTCCAAGATCTTTTCCAGTATCAAGGGCTGTCCTAAGTTCCTAATAGTCAAATGTGGGCAAGCATTAGCATTTTCCATTCAAAATCAAGTTCATATTCATAATCAGCTATTAAACATGTTTCTAACCTTATGGTTGCGGGTATACCAATCACCGATCATGATGACAATATCCCCATCCGGAGTATTAAAAGGTAGTGAAATAATTTTTCGGTTTGTTATGACAAATGCTCCAGATCCACCAGCTGCTCTCTGAAAATTGAGAGAAGGGAAATAAAAGAAGCTACCTATCTGATCCTTAACCTGAAATTGGTAGGTCCAGTTCCAATTTGGAGGGATGGGGCAATTTGTGCCGAGAACGCCATCTTGCCAAGAAGAACGGCGCATTTGGACTCCAGGCCTTTCAAAACAATAAAACCCCTTAGAAATACTTTGGAAATGGAATCCCCAAAAATAATAACACAAGCTAATGATCCATCCATCAATAAGTAAATGGTCATTGAAACCTACCAAGTAATGAGGAGATTTTCGTCTAATTTGTTCTTCACATTTACCACAACATTGTAATTAGTAGTAACATTAAGAGTAGGACCTGGAAACTTCCCATTAATTGCTATAACCTGCAGAAACAGTAGTAACAAAAGAAATTTGAAATTGCTATCACCCTAAATTTAACCAATACTGAATTCAGTTCTCTGATTCAACTGCATTCAGAACATTATCAAATATTACGTAAAACAAATGAAAAAAAAAAAAAAACAAAAACAAAAAAAAAAAAAAACCAGGTGACAGAATTATCCCAAATTCAAATTAAATTCAACTATACTCATCATCTATCACCTTATCCAAACTACATTTACAACATTAACCATATATTAGACAAAAAAACATGAAGAACAATATGGCCCCAGTGCACCTTTTTTCAAATTCAACTTTATTTACAACAGTATCAACAAATTACAGGAATAGCAACGAATAATCACAAAACACAAATGGAAAAATCACCCACAAAGACTTGTATCATCCCTAATCATTTCTTCAGTCATCAACCACACAAATTACTGTAAAATTATAATAAATACACAAAATACACATTAAAAAATTATCTCTATTTACACATTTGGGATCCTAAACTACTTTACCGACACACTAAGCCCTACTTTCAGATTCCAACTTTTCAAACACAATTACACCATAAAGCACAGATTACAACTTGGGGAAAAAAGAACGAAAAAAATAAAACCCACCTCGAAAAAACTTCCAAGTGAGTCAAGTGACATCCTAATCTACCTCGTCACTATTCAAATCACTCTTTCTAGTTCAACAACGTATGCAAAATTAATACAGTAAGTCAGTACGGCTACTTCAACAGTTTATTGCCAATAAAAAAATTATAAAAATACAAAATGGGGAAGAATAAAAAGATCAAAACGGTAAGAAGAAAATGAGAGAGAGAACCTGTTGAGAAACGCCCAGTGGAGAAACAGTGATGTAAGAGAGCTCTAATTCGTAGTTGGCAAAAGGGTCTTCCGCGAAACACAGGGTAAAAAGTAGAGCAATAGGGATCAGATACCCAAACAGCGCCATGTAGAAGAGTCGCTATGCTGTGTAACGCCGAATTTCTGTGGTTTTTAGGGTGTTTTACATGATATATACATATGGAGAAAGAGAGAGAGAGAGAGTGAGAGAGAAATAGCAGACGGCGAGAACGGCTCTCTCTATTTCAACTTTCTCGCTTGGTTTGTAAGGAAATTTAGTGGGACACACACACGCTGGCCTGCCCTAAACTGAAACATGTGGCCTAATGGGGGGAATTCATTCGGGGAACTGGTTAAACCGGTTGACTAAAATCATTTCTAAATATTTTTCTCTCCCCCGCTTTTTTTTTTTTTGCCCCTTTATTTATATAAAATGAATTTCCTTTCACTTTTATTTAACCAAACTTTATTTGTCTTTTGAAAAAATCAAAATTAAGAATAACGTAATTGTTTTACAAAAGATTTTCGCATTTCATAATTATTTCAAAAAAAAAATTCTTACACTCTACTTTTGAAGAATATTTTTGAATATTAAGTCAATTAATTATAGAATGAATTAACAAATTTATACTATTTGAAACAACTAAATTAAGTCAATTCTTATGGAATGAATTTTATTTATTTGAACATTAAGTTTTTTTTTTTTCATTAAATCACAATTATTTTTTTTTTATTCACACATTCACATTGTCTGTATAAAAATTTAAATGCACAGTTTTTTACTTTGTAAGGTGAATACCACAAAACAACAGCCTTCGGTCGATTAAAATTAATAAATTATTTTAGAGAATTGTTTTTAAATTGTTGAACTTTTCTAGTATGTAAATGCTTTAATAGTTCAGTGGGTCGTTAGTGTTTTCGATAAATTTTAAAGTATCAGGTTTTAACTTTTTGCATTAATTAATCTAATTTATAACCCTTCTTTCATTATAAGAAAAATCTAGAATTATTAATCAGGATAAGAAAAAGAAAAACAAAATTGCAAAAAAACAAAGTTGAAAGGTTTTGCAATGAAACATGAGAGAGTAAGAGAGACAAGTTGGATAAGAATGGAAGCATGAGGGGATAGATCTTTTTTATATTTTATTTTATTGATAATGGTAGTGGAGGAGTAATACTTTGGATCGCGAATATCACTATTCAAAATAAAATATATAAAAGGATTATCAATTAAATTATTTTTCTTTAAAAAATTTCCATTGTTGTTTATTTTAGATGAGACTTTTAAATCATAAAAAAAGCATTTCATATTAAAATGCCAAATTTATCTAAGCAAGTATTTATTTTTAGTTTACAGTTTTTTCAAATTTTATATAAAAAATTTAACAAAATATATGTCAAGCAATCAAGGTGCTTATTTTATATTTCGTACTAAAAATGAATACTTACTAAAATTTAATACCATGGTTTTAAACTTATAATGCCATCAATTTTCTGTCACTTTATATTCTCATAAACCGGCTATTGACGGTCATAATTCATTAAATGAGGGAAAGAAAATAAAAATAAAAAATCATTAAAGGAGGGAGGGGAGTCGCTAGACTTGCATCCAAACGGTTCAGTCAACCTTTTGCATTTGTTTCGACGCAACCGCTAGTCCCCCTTCTAACGTATAGATTTTCTGAATTTCTCACATGAGTGGGGCCCACTCAGGTGTGTATGGCCCACACTCACAAAAATGTGAATGGGGAAAAAATATTCTAACATTAATTTTAGCTTGTACGGTGGATGTCCATTTCACTCTAAATGATTAGATGCTGTTGGTGCATTGACGTACTGAATCAAATCAATTCAAAATTTTCAATTAAGAAAATGATCTTTCCGTATTAATATATTATAAATAAATTTTAATAACTTGGAACCATCTAATAAATTCTCCCCACTTAAGATTCTAATAAATTCGCACCCACTCAAGATTTGTTTGATAATCTTCTGTTTTCATTTGATATATATATTTTTTAGTGAATATTATTGAAAGTATGTTTGATATAATATTTATTTTAAAATTTTTAAAAGTAAAAATATATAAACATATTTGGTAAAAAAAATATTGCAAGTTAAAAATATATAATGGTTGAGATTAGAGATGGCAATTCGTGTTCACGGGTCATAATTATATCGCGTTGATGTAAGGGTATTATACTAAATAAGTAAATCCAAACCCGACATATTTAATAATCGTATCAGGAACCATCAACACTAACCCGACCTGTTTATTAAACGGGTTAACCTGTTTATTAACCTGTTTATCAAAATGAGACATTTATTATTCAATCAAATAATAAATATTAGAAAAAATTTATCACAATTAATCCAAATATTCAAAATAAGAAGAAAAATCATAAGACATAGTTAAGGTTTATGTTAAAACGACTTAACTGTCCATAATAATTGGGTTTAAACAGATTACATAGGTCATATTCATAATTATGACATGTATCTGTACCCCTTGGAATCGATAAACCCTTTGGATCTTATTAACCAGAGAAATACGACTTTGTGCTATAGTTAGCTCAGCACCAATCCAGAATCCCCGGCGGATGTCAGCGGTTCGAGTTCGCTTATTTCCAACTCGTGAACTTAGTCGATACAAAGCTATATGGTAGCACCCAATTTTTCCGATTCGACGATTCAATCTATGATTCACGGTGTTAGTAAAATGGGTCCTATAGAAAGTCCATTTATTCCCAATCGCCAATGGAAATAAAAAAAATCGATACCAAGCATTTTTCTTACGGCTAGATCCAATCAAGCTCTTTTATTCTGGTTTATGTGTTCTCTTGGCTATATGGTTCATCCGGGGGAAAGATCGAGCATGATAGCTACTTTTTTCTATATAACAGAAAAAGATGAAATATAACCAAGATATATCTTTTTGATCAGAGGTTGAATCGATCATCAGAAGAAGAATTAGGCCAAAAATTAGGATACATTCTGGGAAAATAAAACTTTTCCTTAAGAGGTAGCGGGAAGGAATTGGAATGTAATAAAGAATATTGATTCATACAGAAGAAAAGGTTCTCTATTGATTCAAATACTATACCTATGGGATACCTTTTTCTTTTGGTTCTGCATTTTTATCTCGAAATTATGAATTGAGTTTGTATAGGCATTTTTGACGCCACTATTGAAATAGCCTTTCTGGCTATAGTTCAGTTTGTGACTTGAACTACTGATTTCGTCCGTGCAGATATATGCCTTTATCTATTTGCCACATTACACTTGGGCTTAACCTAAAAACGACTATATTTGAAAACTAGTCAATGATGACCCTCCATGGATTCACCTATATAAGCCGCGGCTAAAGTTGCAAAAATAAGGAGATAACTCAAACGGCGTTTCCTTGTTATGGGGATCCTTTATCTTTGTTTTGAATCATTAGGTTTAGACATTACTTGGGTGATCATTAATCTTTTCAAAACTGCCCTTTTGTGATTTCTTTCTATCAAAGAATCATATGAACGGTGGATTCTCGCGCAATACACCTTGAATCGAAAGAGTTTTATCAATTCCAACAATTGTTATGATATTTCTTTCATTTTTCTAAAACAAAATATATGATGTGAAATATATTTCCTGGTAGTCAAATGCTTTGTCATCTAATTTACTACACATTAATAGAATTAGTCTATGTTCATTGCATGAAATTGGAGTCTTAGAATTCAAAAAAAAAAAATGAAACGAAAAAAATAATAATAATAAAGCTAAGAAAATTGAACTAAAATTTTCTCTAATTCCAATTTCAAGACTCCAATTCCAAGCAACTGAACACACATTTACAGTATTTGTGCATATGCCTTTGCGCGTATATGTGTGACAAAAATTGTTAGAAAAATTAATGTTATTTTTAAAAGGCAAAAGTGCAAAAAACCCCCCTGAACTATCTAATTTGTTACAAATACCCTCCTAAAGTACCAAAGTGTGCAAATACCCCCCAGGGAGTCACCGGATCAGCTTTCCAGCTGTTGATTTGAATTGACCGAAATAACCTTACTTATTAAATTATATATATATATATATATATAAAGGAGCTAATTGTGAAATACTAATTTTACCCTACTAAGTTAAGTTGCCCTAAAATCTCATTTAGCTGATTATGTTAGAGAGAAAGAGACGTACAAAGAGTTAAAGAGAGATGGAGGCGCAAAAAATGAACTTAGGGTTTCATACTGTGGGATGAAGACTTTGATCGTATTCTTGTTCTGTTAATTTGTGCGCGACATCGTGTTATTGTTCTCTTCAATTGTGTGTTACATTGTGTGGTATTTCCTATTGGGTCTATCATTTTCTCGAACTTTGGTTCGATTTTACAAGTTCTCCAAATTTGTAAGTGTAGATTCTGTTCTATGTCTTTATGTCAATTTTAAATGAATCTTATTTTTCATTTTGTATGTTAATGGTTATATTTTTGGGTTAATTAGTATGAATCGAATATTCAATTTTTAGGGTTTGTGAAATTTTGTTTTGACCTAGTATAAAGATCTATTTTTTGTATATATAATACACATGCATGCAGTCAATTATATGCAATTTTTTAGAACTTGGGAAACGTTTGGTGTAGGCTTTATGTTGATTAAAGAAGATAGACTCCACTGACAATAGAGTTTATAGTCAATGACAATGGTCCATGACCTTTTTTATTTTATTTTATTTTATTTTTTTTTATCTTTTATGTCTTCGTATAGTGATACACAATAGTCCATGTCTTGTGTTTGATGTCAATTTGTTTCCTGCATTTTTAGATTGATGTCTTATGGCAAATGTTTGATGTCTTGTAGTCCATGTCTTATATTTGATGTCAGTTTGTTTTCATGTGATCATTGCATTTTTGTATCTTCATATGCTCCATTACTGCATATTTAATAACAGTGAAAAAAAAATTAAAATGCCCATTACTCCATTAGGGTTTATGCATATTGGTATTTTATTGCTTAGGTATTGTTATTTGCTTAATTTTTTATTTTTTGTGCTTAGGGATTGTCTTTTGATTATTTTTATTTTTTATTTTTTGTACTTGGGGTTTATACATATTGTTATTTTATTGCTTAGGTATTGTTATTTGCTTAATTTTTTTTATTTTTTGTGCTTAGGGATTGTCATTTGATTATTTTTTCATTTTTTGTGCTTAGGGTTTGTGCAAATTATTATTTTATTGTTTATA